ACTTTTTTGTGTGTGTCTACAACATTATTATCCAGTCAATTAAAATAAGCATTAAAAGTAATGAAGTTGTTTAAAATAAATGGGTCATTCGTATTTTAAACAATACTTTTGGTTTAAATACATCACCTGTTTTTGAGGTACCTGCTTTTCTTTGTTAATATAATATCTAAAATGTTTTAGCATCTTGACTGACTGTGGGTAGATTCTAGTTTCAGTGCTAAACTCCCTCTTCTGTTCTGTCTGTTCAGGCAACAGGCTCACTGACATTGCCAAGTAATTGTCTCTAATTCAATGAGTTAATTAGTTAACTGTCTCCTGCAGAAGTCAAGTACTGACTCCTTGTGGATGAGAAGACTTGTGTTTTTTTCCTCTGAGCTATACACTTTATCTTTCAGTTAAAATCAAGTTAAAATAGACTAGGAGAGTTGGGGAAAACACTAGCAAAATACCTCGGGGTAAGTGATTCTCTGGCATTATTTATAATCCCAGATACTGGCAGACTCTGTTCCAGTACATGTCAACAAAAGCATTTCTTTCTTGTTTTTCTTGTTGGCTGCTGTGTCCTTGCTGGTTTGTGCTGAGGCCGCTCTATTTCCTAATAGTTTTAAAGGCAAGAATATTGTAAAATCCTGGTAATTCAGTTTATACTGTCAGTGTGTGTATTCTGTGTGTGTAATGGTAGTCTTGGCAATCAAATTCAGGTGTTAGTATTAGATACTAGACACCTGTGTGGCAAGAAGAACTGGACAATTAGTTGCCAAATTTTGTCAGTACTAACTCTGACATGTTTTCATATTTGCTGTCTTTTGAAAATTGACATCTACTAATTAAAGAAAGCAAGCAACACAAACAATTGTGAAGAGAGAGAACAAAGATCACCATAACCCATATCTTGTATTTTCTTATTTTATATTTAGTTCTTCCTTCTTTTAAATTTTTTGTAGGAGTCAGGCCCAGGATTCTTTGACAAAGGATATGAGCATTTTTGTGGTTTTTTATATATGTGCATATGTACATATATATATTGCTAAATCACTTTTCAAAAGGACTGAATTTGAAAAACCAGGATATCCAGAATGATGTAAATAATATGTTATCATTTGTGTAAAAAAGAGAAATAGATAAGCCATTATTTTTTTCTTTTCACTTCCACTGCCTTGGTTCAGGTCTCAGCCTCTTTCACCTGGGTCTTTGCGGTAGCCGCTGCTTAGTCTCCCTGCACCCAGTCAGTTTCTCTGTTCTCTAATCCATCTTTCACGGTGCCACCAGAGAGACTAGAGGTCAGATCATGCCTCTCTCTTCCCCTAAAATTTTTAGTGGTATCCCATGGGCCACAGAGTAAAGTTCAGACTATTCAGTTTAGCGTTCAAAGTCTTCCACCATCTGGTCTCAAACTGCGTTTTCAGTTTCACCTTCTACATAGCTTTGTATACTCTCTCTTTATTACCACATCTCTCTCCAACCAACCCTCCCACGCCCCTAAAAAGAAAAAAAATTATTTTTAAATTTCTATATTTGTTCACCTTTTTTTTTTTTAAGGCTGAAATACCCTTTTTCTCCATTTGTAGTTGAAATTGAATTTTAGTTTCAAGGCCTATTCTGAAGTTTCTCCTTCCTCCTGCCAACCCCATCTCACCTGTCCTCAGACTGAACCACTCCTTTTTGGTTCCCATGGTACATTTCTCATACTATTGTTTGGCACTCGTATTCTGGTTAGTGGTTGACTTGTCAGTCGGCTTAAATTCTATTTTTAGACTTCCTTGTGGTGATTCCTCTTTCTAATTGCAGTAGTCTCCCTGACATTTTACCTTCCCCACTCCTGCCTGTCCTTGACTGGTGGTTTTCTGATTTTGGTAAACCATGTCCAACTATATCATATGTTGAAGAATGAGGAGGGGAAGAAGCAATTGTCATGAATTGGGAGAGTCCGTTCACTATTAGTATCAATACCATACAGTTTGTTTTTTCTTTGTCCTATGTTTGCATACCTATTGTTTTGAAACATCAAAGATTATTTAGTCATTTTATGGATGTGTGATAGATCTAGAGGCCTGGCAGGAGAATGGAGTTGTTGAACAACTCACAGAAAGTTAGTGGTAGAGCAAGGATATAGACCCAGGACCCTATCAGGAATGACTTTTCTAGCATGTAGGGAGAACCTGACTTTATTTTGGGGTGATATTTGTTAGGTGCTTTTGGGAGCATCAGCTAGTAAGGGTGATATGGCATTGGCTGTAATAGCCTCTGTGGTGTTTTTCAGAATACGACAAAGGAAACATTTTTGCCTTAATTCTCTCCTTGTTGAAAGAGCTGGTGGCTTGGTTTAGTCAGATTCACAAATGAGGACATGAAATGCTTAATCAGAGAGCAAATCAACAGTCTTTTGATCTGATCCTTCCCATCCCTGTCTTGTTTTCCAGAAGCAACCATTTGTAACTTTTTTTTTTAAAGATTTTATTTTTCCATTTTCTCCCTAAATCCCCCAAGTACATAGTTGTATATTTTAGTTGTGGTCCTTCTAGTTGTGGCATGTGGGATGCCACCTCAGCATGGCCTGATGAGCGGTGCCATGTCCGTGTCCAGGATCCGAACCGGCAAAACCCTGGGCTGCCGAAGCTGGGCACGTGAACTTAACCACTCGGGCACGGGGCCGGCCCCTTTGACTCTTTTAGCTATTTTTTTTGATTTTTCCCTTCATATTTCTATACTGCTATTGCTAGACATTATTGACTTTCTATTACAGTAGTTGAGAACTTAGCTTCCCAATACTACTTTCTGCCCCATTTTTCTCCCTCCATTCCTCTCAGTATATTTATAATTGTTATTAAATTAATATTTAGTATCTACATTATGACTGTAATGTCTATTTTGAGCCATCATGTATTATAATAATATTTCCTATTTTTTACAACAAAAGTACTATTTCATAGAGTTAAAAATGACCCTTTTATTTACTTAGTGATTTGTATACCTATTACCAGTTCATTAATTTAACAAATATTTACTGAGTGCCTACTGTGTGCCAGGCATTATGCTAGGTGTTTGGGCTACACCAGTGCACAAACTAGACAGAGATTCCTTCCTTTGTGACACTTATATTCTAGTTGGGAGATAGACAGTGAACATAATAAAGAAGTAAAATATAGTGTGTTAGAAGGTGATAGGTGCCAAGGGGAAGACAAGCAGAGCAATGTAAGAGGATTGGGAATACAGATACAGGCATGAGTTGTAAAACTAAATAGGATGATAAGACTAGGACTCATTGATGAGGTGACAATCTCATCTATCTCATTTAAATCTTGAGCAAAGATTTAAATTCCTCCCAGCGTTCTTTTCTGTGTAGCCAAATGCCTTGGATACTCCTGCATTCCATTCTCCCCAGTGGCTTTCGTTCTTAGAGCCCTCCATCTGCCCGAGGATGAGGTGCTCTAGAGCCCGAGGCACATTTATTGTCCTGGGATTTCCTTTGGCCACTTTCCTGGGTTGGATCATCTGTTTCCTGGATCCCACATCTTCCTTTTACTTGGTATTCACGTCCTCTTTTTGATGGGTCAAATTCTCCTATAACTTCCTGAGAAAGGGTACATGAAGGGAGAGAAAAGTATTGAGAACATGGATACCTCAAAGTGCTTTTAACCCACCCTTACAATTGATTGAAAGTTTGGCTCAGTTTAGAATTCTAGGTTGGAAATCATTTCTCTTAGCATTTTCAAGGCCTTACCGCGTTGTCTTCAAGCTGCCAATGTTTCTCTTGAGGAAACATTGATGCCAGTGATTCGTAATTCTCTATATGTGACCTGTTTTTTCTCTCTGAAAACTTTTACGATTTTCTTTTTATTCTGATGTTCTGTAATTTTATGATTATGGGCCAGGCCCTGTTGTGGGTCTTTGTTTTGTTTGTTTTGATTTATTGTGCTTGGCACTTGTGAGCCCTTGTATTCTTCAGTTCTGGGAAATTTTCTGATATTACTACTTTGATAGTTGGCTGAAGTAGCTAAATTGATCAGCTCCAACCCAGAGAGGGGGGCTCTGGTTGTTCATGTTTGGTCATGCCATAGTACATAAAACCGTTAAAATAATGAGGCATTTATTTGATAGGCAGGTATTATTATTATTTTATTTAAAAAAATGATCAACATAAAAGGCAGAATATTTTTGATTCTTTTTTCCAGCTACTGGAACTTAGAATGATTACCTACGACGGAAATTCTTGTTTATATGCTTTTCTCATTCATTTCCCTTTTAAGATTTGGCAGGATATGTTCCTCCCCCCACCCCCCTCCCCGACTCTTGTAGGCAGGAAGCCCCTGGGAGTCTATCTCACTTTCAGGTCATGGTCACTTTGGCTACTCTTTCACCTTTCTTCATCTTTCTCATATTTCTTCTCTTACATATATATAATAATATATATAGTGTAGTATATATACACATCTTACATTATAAGTGATATATATAAAATATATATATTTGAGATAAAAGTCACATAACAAAATTCACCATGTTAACCATCTTAAAGTATACCATTCAGTGTTGTTTAGTATATTTACAATATTGTGCAACCATCACCACTATCTAATTCCAGAACATTTTCATCACCCTGAAAGAGAAATCCCATACATGTTTAGGCAGTTACTCTCCTTTCCCTGCTCCTCCCACCTCCTGGCAACTACTCTTCAACTTTTTATTCCTATGGATTTTCCCATTGTGGACGTTTCATGTAAATGGGGTCATACAATATGTGGCCTTTTGTGTCTGGCCTCTTTACTTAGAATGTTTTCAAGGTCCATCCATATTGTAGCATGTATCAGTACTTTACCAATGTTATTAAATCAGACTCTGGTTGTATATTTTTCACTATCTAGAGAAAAATTCTGCATTTATTATCCTTATTTTGATTTTGATAATGGCCTTTAGTTTACCTTTTCACAAAACATTTATTGGCTACAAAATGATACTGAATAATTTAATTTTTAAGTATACATTATTTGTTTATTTTTTAGTATGCCAGTACTGAGGTTGATGGAGAACATTACATGACCCCGGAAGACTTTGTCCAGCGCTATCTTGGACTGTATAATGATCCAAATAGCAATCCGAAGATTGTGCAGCTCTTAGCAGGAGTAGCCGATCAAACCAAGGATGGGTAAGAACATTTATACATTTATTAAAAATTAATGTTCTGCAATATCTTATTAAAAAATAAGTCAACTTTCTAAGTTTACCTATGACCATCTGGAATTTTAATATTAGTAAACTGTATCTTTTCTTAGAAGTTTATAAAAACAGTGTTATTTACTGCCATTATCAAATATACTAGTATTTCTTTCTTTAAAAAAAAATTACGTGTGAAAAATTGTATTTTTCTATTGAGTAATCTGAGCAAAATGAATTTCAGATAACTAAGTGTATTTTCAGAACTACTAAGTGTATTTCTTTCATTCATTCATCTGTTCAATAAATATTGAGTACCTACTATGTTTTAGGCACTGTTCTAAGTGATAGAATTACATCAGTGAATAAACTATGCAAAAACACTAAACAAAATTTAAAAGTAAATTATAACATGTTTTGAGGTTACAAGTGCTATGAGGAAAAATAAATCAGGGAAGAATTTAGAGAGTGGCATTTGTTCATTTATCTGTCTACTCATTTATTTGACAAGCATTTATTGAACAACCACCATTTGCCAGGCATGGTTGGACCTTAGAAATAGAAGCATAAATAAAATGAGGTTCCTGTTCTTAAGAAGAAGCTCATGGCCTAGTGAGGAAGAGGTTGGAGGAAACAAAGAGAAAAAAGTAATACTCCGGGAATGAGGTGCTATAATAGAAGTATAGGAAAGGTACAAAGGACACCCAAGAAAGCGTGGTTAACTGCTTTGGGTGGTCAGGACAGCATGATAAAGAGGTGATGCTTGAATGAAATCTGGTAAGACAAATAGGTGCTTGCTGTTGGTTGGACAAGTAGGGAGGAGAATTCCAGGAAAGGGAATAGCTGTGGCATGGAACATCATGGGCTGTGTGTGTGTGTCTGTGTGTGTGTGTTTTGGGGAGTGACAGTGGGGAGGTTGTGTTACGAGTACTTTGGCGTAGCTGTAGTGTTGCTTTGTTGTTGGAGTTGTGGTTGAAGTAGAGCTGGGGACCTTGTGTGCTAGGTTTTGACTGTCTCCTGGAGCCTCCTGACTCTCAGTCTTGAAGGTATTTTTAGCCTGACGTTATATGGGTGTGTGCAGCTACAGAAATAACAAAGTGCATCTTACTAGAGTGTCAGTTTACTCAAATCAAGTGGGAAACCACAACATTTTTATATTAAAATCAAATATGACCATGTTATGGAGCGAACAGAATATTTGTATGAATTATAAAGAAAGTTTTGACTGGTTTTGTGAGTTCCGAGCTATGTCCCCAGGCCTGCAAGGGTCTTGGTTCTTTCTCCTACCTGTAGAGGTGTTTGTGTGAAAAACTTTGAAAAAATGGGCAATGTGGAATCTTTAAAAGTTATTTCATTACCACAAATATGATGAGATTTTAGAAAAATGATAGGTTGGAGTAGGACAAGAGTTGTATGCATTGAAATCCGTTTAGGAGGCTGTGATAAAGTAGAAATGTTGGTATCTAAGTTCTTCTTTGAGTCCAGGGTTAGTATTGTATAAATTTATTTTCCCACAGAATCTAGCACAGTGTGTGAAATTTACTATGACTATTTTGTATCTTGGAAAGATTTTATATAATTTGTCAATGGCAGATGTTGGGGAACTTGTATACATTTTGTGTCTAGTCTCTAAGTGAAATCAGCTGTGATTAGACAGTAAGGCATATGAAAACTAGCTATATTTAATCAGAATTTCTTCTAAATTATTAAAGGTAACATATATATTTAGCTCTTTTAGAAACTATCAGAGGGGCAGTGGGGAGGGAGGAGGGTGAAAGGGGTGATGAGGCAGATGTGTATGGTGATCTATGGTAATTAGCCTTTGGATGATGAACATGAGAAAATCTACACAGAAATTGAAATATAATGATGTACACCTGAAATTTATATAATGTTATAAACCAGTGTTACCTCAATTAAAAAGGTAAACACATAATTAAAAAAAATAAAATAAAATAATTAAATCCAGACTGACAGAAGTTTGATGTCATTTAATTTCCAAACAATAAATTTGATATTCATTAAAAAAAAAAGAAAAACTATCAGAGTGTTTGTTGTTATTAATTTGATCTGAGACCTGCTTTCAGGGTATCCATATCTTTTCAGATGCTTCCTTTTGTGACCATCTGCTCAGGTCCATCTCAGTAGTGTGTCTTTTTTGAAGCTTTATGTGGTTCTCCCAGACTCAGTTGTCTTGCTAAAGAGTGGTCAAGTGGAATCAAGGGTTTAAGTTGCCAGAGGAGAATAAATCAAAAATGAGTTTTTTAAAAGGTAAATCTTCTATTTCAAATTTTAAAAACTTCTTAAACTTCCCTTTTTTTTCACTCTCTTTGGAATTAGTCAGATTAGGATTGGGTAGGAAATCTGATTCATAGAGTTAGGTCATAAAAATTATAAATGAGTTTATGAGATATAGATTATTTTTAAAAGCAGAGAAAGGTGGAATTTTCTAGAAACACCAGAATTCCTTTTTTTTTTTTTTTTTTTGAGGAAGATTAGCCCTGAGCTAACATCTGCTGCCAATCCTCCTCTTTTTGCTGAGGAAGACTGGCCCTGAGCTAACATCTGTGCCCATCTTCCTCTACTTTCTATGTGGGACGCCTACCACAGCATGGCTTGCCAAGTGGTGCCATGTCCGTACCCAGGATCCAAACTGGCGAACCCTGGGCCACCAAAGAGGAATGTGCACACTTAATCGCTGTGCCAGTGGGCTGGCCCCAACACTGCAATTCCTAATCTGTTCATAGATGGTCTTCAGAGGTTCCTGAATTTGCTGAAATATAACGCAAAATGAATGGATTTGTATCTGAATTTTTCTAGGGAGAAATCCCAGGTTTTCAAAAGGGCCTATGACTTCAAAAAGGGTTAAGTATCAGTGTCAAAGTTTCTTTAATACTTAAAAAAAATTTTTTTTATTGAGGTGACATTCGTTTATAATGTTATATAAATTTCAGGTGTACATCATTATATTTCGACTTCTGTAGATTGTATCGTGTTCACCACCACAAGTGTAGTTGGTATCTGTCACCATACGCATGTGCCCTTTACCCCTTTCAACCTCCCCCTGCCCATTTTCCCTCTGGTCACCACCAATCTGTTCTCTATGTGTTTGTTTGTTTATCTTTCACATATGAGTGAAGTCATACAGTAATTGTCTTTCTCCGTCTGACTTATTTTGCTTAGCATAATACCCTCAGGATCCATCCATGTTGTCACAAATGGCATGGTTTTGTCTTGTTTTTATGGCTTAGTAGTATTCCTTTGTGTGTGTGTGTGTATGTGTATATATATATATCTTCTTTATCCATGTGTATATACATCTTCTTTATCCATTCATCCATTGATGAGTACTTGAGTTGCTTCCAAATCTTGTCTATTGTCAATAATGCTTAAATGAACATAGGGGTGCATGTATCTTTTTGAACTGGTGATTTTTGTGTTCTTTGGATAAATACCCAGAAGTGGAATAGTTGGATCATATGGTAGTTCTATTTTTAGTTTTTTGAGGAATCTACATGCTGTTTTCCATAGCGGCTGCACCAGTTTACATTCCCATCAGCAGTGTACGAGGGTTCCTTTTTCTCCACATCCTCTCCAACACTTGATATTTATTATCTTTTGATAATAGCCATTCTGACAGGTGTGAAATAATATCTTGTTGTAGTTTTGATTTGCATTTCCCTAATAATTAGTGGCATTGAACATCTTTTCCTGTGCCTGTTGGCCATCTGTATATCTTGTTTGAAAAAATGTCTGTTCATATCCTCTGCCCATTTTTTGATCTACTTGTTTGCTTTTGTGTTGAGTGGTATGAGTTCTTTATATATTTTGGATGTTAACCCCTTATCAGATTCATGATTTGCAAATGCTTTCTCCCAATTGGTAGATTGTCTTTTCATTTTGTTGGTGGTTTCCTTTGCTGTGCAGAAGCTTTTTAGTTTGATGTAGTCCCATTTGTTTGTTTGTTCTTTTGTTTCCTTTGCCTGGGGAGACATGATATTCAAAAAGAAACTGCTTAGACTTATGTCAGAGAGTGTACTGCCTGTTTTCTTTTAGGAGTTTTATAGTTTCAGTTCTCACATTCAAGTTTTTAATCCATTTTGAGTTAGTTTTTTGTATAGTGTAAGATAATGGTCTCCTTTCGTTCTTTTGCATGTAGCTGTCCAGTTTTCCCAACACCATTTATTGAAGAGACTTTCCTTTCTTCATTGTATGTTCTTGGCTCTTTTGTCAAAAATTAGCTGTCTGTAAATGTGTAGGTTTATTTCTGGGCTGTCAGTTCTGTTCCATTGATCTGTGTGCCTGTTTTTCTGCCAGAACCATACTGTTTTGATTACTATAGCTTTGTAGTATATTTTGAAATCAGGGCATGTGATACCTCCAACTTTGTTCTATTATCTCAAGATTGCTTTGGCTATTTGTTCCATGTAAGTTTTAGGATTCTGTGTTCTATTTCTGTGAAAAATGTTGCGATTCTGATTGGGATTGTGTTGAATCTATAGTTTGCTTTTAGGTAATATGGACATTTTGACTATGTTAATTCTTCCAATCCATGAGCATGGGATAGCTTTTCATTTGTTTATGTCTTCCTTGATTTCTTTCAACAGTGTCTTATAGTTCTCACTGTACAGGTATTTCATCTCCTTGGTTAAATTCATTCCTAGATATTTTATTCTTTTGCTCTGATTGTAAGTGGGATTGTATTCTTGATTTCTCTTTCTTCTAGTTCGTTGTTAGTGTATAGAAATGTGACTGATTTTTGTATGTTGATTTTGTATCCTGCAACTTTACCATGTTCATTTATTATTTGTAAAAGTTTTTTGGTGGATTCCTTAGGGTTTTCTGTAGATAAAATCATGTCATTGCAAATAGTGACAGTTTCTCTTCTTCCTTTCCAATTTGGATCCCTTTTATTTCTTTTTCTTGCCTAATTGCTTTGGCTAGGACTTCTAATACTATGTTAAGTAAGAGTGGTGAAAATGGCATCCTTTT